CTCTCAACTGGCTCAATTCTGCACCTCAACAGGATCTACGTTCATTGATCTCAGACCCCGACTTGAAGAAACGAAACATGCGGGGATCAACAGAACAGGTATTCTGTACACCTTCGAAAGGGCACGCAACGCAGCGCAACATATCCTCGGACAGGTGCCAGGTTTTTTAGATTGAATGAGTCATTTTGTTCTGACGGCGATCTATCGAAGAACAACTCCGTTCAATCTCTCTATAGAAGTTGGCCGAATTTTCTAACAACCAATGCTAACGGTCTTTGTGCGAACACAAAACAATCAGAACTTTCAATTTTATTGAACACATACAATATTGATGTGTGCTTGATCACAGAAACTCACCTGGATGTAAAGGTATCTGATTGTCAAATATTTCAAGAAGGATATCAGTTAATACGCAAAGATAGAAACCTACGAGCTGTGAATAGAAGTAAAGGTGGCGGTATAGTACTGTACTTGAGAGAAGGCGTCCGTTACACCGTGCCCAATTTTGAAGTGCCTGAGGAACTGGAGATATGCTGGTGCGTTTTGAGACCGTCACAGGCAGAAAGCATTATCGTAGCTGGTCTCTACATTCCGCCTGACACAAGTGCACCAAGACGTCTTGCCATAACAGATCATGTCATTGAAAAGATTGATCATTTGCGATCACGCAGGCCCAAAGCAAAAACTGTTCTTTTGGGAGATTTCAATAGTGTGTTCGATGTCCATTCACTAGCACAGCAATTGAACCTAAAGCAAATCGTTACGGAACCTACCAGAGGTGCGTCAATTCTTGACATGATTTTAACTGATTGTGAAGCAGAGAGCACGCCTACCATTATTCCAGCCATTGGTACATCGGACCATGAAACGGTTGTCTGGATCGGTAGCGCACAAAACAAGAAATTTCACCAATATCGCACCGCAAGACCGATGAGAGCCTCGAACATCAGACAGTTTGGCCAATGGATATGTGAACAAGACTGGAATGACATTACCAGCTTTACTGATGTAGATCAAGCAGCCGAGGTGCTTGAAAATAAACTGAAAATTGCCTACGAAACATTCTTCCCGCAGATTACGTATAAATGCAGAAGAAATGATCCTCCGTGGATGACGAAGAGGATTAAAGAACTATTGATCCTACGTAACAGGGCACACAGCCGCCAGCAAACCAATCGCCTCAAACAGCTACGTGAGAAAGTACGATCTGAGATTTGTTCTGCGAAGACCCAATGGTACAGAAAGCGGATGGGTCAAGTCTCATCGGGCAAAAAGGCATCATGGTACAGAGAAGTGTCCAAATTAACTAATCGGCAGCCGAAGTCATGGGACTTCAAAACCACAGATGAAGCAACTTGTGATTCCGCAGCTGAGCTAATAAATAGACACTTTGCCCAAGTCTGTACGACCTATGAGGGACTGCAAGTGGACAAACTCCCGTGTTACTTACCGGCGAATGACATTCCTTTCGATATCCAGCCATGGCAAGTGGCACTGCATCTTTCACGGATCAGAGAAAATATGGCTGTCTCCACTGGTCAATTACCTGCAAGGTTGATTAAGGAATTCTCAATAGAATTAGCAACTCCATTAGCGTATATATTCAACTGCTCGTTAAAAAGCTCCCAGGTGCCCTCGGTTTGGAAACGGGCTACAATCACACCGGTACCCAAGAAAGACAAGCCGCGCTCGCCAGGAGATTTGCGTCCCATCAGCCTCACACCCACATTTATGAAGGTTTTTGAAAGATTTATGGTACCGCTCATTCTCCACGACATAAGTCCAAAGATCGACATCCGTCAGTACGGCAACGTAAAGGGAGCATCGACTGCCCACTACCTGGTCAGACTACTGCACAACCTATTCACGCAGCTGGACAAGTCGGACAAAATATTTTCCATGATTATGTATGATTTCAGAAAAGGTTTTGATCTAATAGATCACACTACAGTCATACAGAAGCTCCTGAACATGGGACTCCGATCTGCCTACGCACATTGGCTCTGCTCCTTCCTTCAGGACCGACACCAACGAGTGAAGATGCCGGATGGCAGCATTAGCACGTGGAGCCCCATAACCTGTGGGGCGCCACAAGGGACCCTAGTGGGACCAGTAGCCTTCCTGGCTATGATAAACGATGCCGCCGTCCAAGACGAAAGGAGGCTTAAATATGTAGATGATTTAACCCTATTAGTGGCAGGCTCCTGGCTACCCCATATTAGTGGCAGGGGGGGGGGGGCTGTTTACGACCCCCCCTTGATATCTCGAGATCTAACCGGCCGATTTTCAAAATTCAAACGGCATTCGATTTGGCTCAACGAGATCTACATTTCTGAAAAAAAAAAAAATCAAAAAATGTCAATAGGGGGGTAGAGGGGGGGTAAAAACGGGCAAATTGCAGATACATTTTAGACTGTTTATCACGGCCAGGTTTCTGAACCAATCTTAACGCAACTTTTGCCGATCGATAGAGAATGAACCAGGAATTCACATGGATCCTAAAAATATGCATTTTCAAAAATCATAGGCGGATACAGATCATTGAGATTGGGGGTACACAAAAAGTATAGTAAATAAGGTTTTTGTTGGTACTGTTTCTAAAAAGGGTGGCAATGGTCTTGTTATGTTACAATTTTCTTATGAGAGAACGACTAAAATTGTATTGGTCATGCATAGGCGGTGTCAGGGCACCTATTTTGGGAGGTAAAAAATAACCCCCTTTTTGGACGCCTGGATCCGCCTATTATAGCAAAAACGTGTCAAAAGAGGATGCACAATAACTTTGTATATGTTATCACATGATACCTTTCATTCACTGTTCGTAAAACTGGTGCAGCATCGTGATCTTCGCCCAAATTACTCGCTTCACGAATAGGACCCCCAATTCCCAGTGCTCTGGAGCCGCCCCTGGTAAAGTTATGAACTTGAAATTTTCAGGGAATGTGCCCAATTTAGTTTTAGGAAAAGTCAGAAAATTTCAGCATCGCAGCTTCAGCGGTTTCGGAGATATTCCCGAAAAACCTGAGGGGTGGATAAAAACAACCCCCCCCCCTGCCACTAATAGGGTTAACAGTCTTCCAAGCATGCTCTGTGAATCAATTTAATGAAGAATGCACCCTACAGCAAGTAACGGATAAATTGTCGGAATGGGCCAACACGAACAAGATGGTGCTGAATACAGAAAAATGTCAGATTCTTCACTTCTACACAGCCAAAAAGCCTATTATCTTACCGGATATAGACCTTAATGGCAGCAGTATACCAACAACTGACCACGCAAGATTACTTGGGATCACGATATCCGGTGACATGTCCTGGCAGAAACATGTTGATGACATTGTGTCCAAGGGATCCCGAGCCCTCTACATGCTGCATGTAATGAAGAGGTTTCGGCCGCCACAAGAGCAGTTGGTTAAGGTATATACCACATACATAAGGCCACTGCTCGAGTACTGCGCCCCTGTATTCCACGCCGGACTAACTGTTCAACAGGCTCAGAAAATAGAAAAGGTACAAAAACGGGCCGTCAAAATAATCGCCGGATACGACGAAAGCTACCAGGACATCTTACAACGCCTTAACCTGGAAACACTCGCTAATAGAAGACAGACTTTATGTTTAAGACTCTGTAAACAGATGCTCAAGTCGATAGCACATCAAGACTTATTCCCGAAATCGAGAGGCTCGATATCCGGCAGAGAAACGAGAAGTTCTAACACTCTTGAAACGTTTTGCTGTGGTACTCGCCTGAGGAGGTCATGCATTCCACATATGACCTCGCTCATTAACCTGGATATCATGTCGTCCAGATAGAATATGGCCTGTACGCTACTGTTATCGTAATTGCGCCAATGTAGTTGCATTTGTTTATTTGCAGTGCCTCAAAACTGCTGTACTGTTATCACATGCGCTATATGGGCAAATGCTCGCAGCCATGAACTAAATACACCGTATCTCTCTCTCTCTCTCTCTCACCTGTTTTTAGTGAAATTTTTACATTTATACCCCCCAAAAACCCCCTAAATATTGACCTAGAGCAATCAAATTTGCACAGGGGCGAGAACTCCGGGGGGCCCACCTACCTACCAAATTTGGTGTTTCTAGAAACCATAGGAGCTAATCGCGAGGGGGGGGGGTCGCATCGACCCCCCCCTGCCAGGCCGTGTTATGAAAAATGCCCTGCCAGGGCGAGGGTTAAACAACTACATAGATTTAGCAATATGTAAAGGAACGGTGGTGTCCAAACGCCACCGGGACTAGGATTATCCCGCTGTGATGCTCGTGCGTCCTCTGGTCAGCAGCAGAGTCGGGCTCCAGAGCACACCTCACCACGTCGTCATTAGAAGCGGAAACAGCGGTACAGGTGACGTCACATGTCAGGTTCCTGCAACACACTCAAATCTGGTGAATACTACAGTGCAATACTTACGTGTGGCTCTGTGTGGCTATTAGCATGACCCGCAATCCGCCACGTGGAGGCTGCCACATCGGACTGCGTCTCTGTTATCGCCCGAGACCCCTCAGGTAGTGCAGAGCCCACCATGTCCTGAGGGAAGACACGGCAGCCATCCAGCCCCGAGCATCCCATCTCGGTGTGTGCTGCTCGTAGACGGACTGCCACTGGGTGACAGACAGCTACCCACCAGACGGCCGACGGCAGCCGGTTGTCGAGAACTCGACTGGCTCAGGACGGCCGTATACCGGGTGACCGTGTGGGCTGAAAGTATACCCAGGAGTCAGGACACTGCTGTATAACCACTGAGCGGCGGTCCCGGGGCTCTGTTCACCGTTATGGAGAGAGCCGGTCTCACGGGGAACTGGAGACGCTAACAGCGGAAGGAAAACGCGTCATCCGGGGACTGGTAATGCAATAATTATGGGTCTGGTGTCATTTGTGAATGCTGCTAACTACAAATCGCCTCGTGTCAAGTACATTCACAAACGTTGGAACATAAAGAGGTATGCATCATGCAAAAATCGCCCACCCAACTAACCTGTCTGGGGAGGCCTCTGATGCTGTGACGGGCGAGTGTGCGGCAGCTGAAATGCCGGACTGCCGGATTGGCTCCGGCGGTCGACGGCTCAGCTGCGCCAGAGCCGCACACCCGCCTCCGTCAACCTGCCGGTGTAGTAAATGGACAGATGGTTATTCCAGCTGATTTATGAATGGTGTTTTTAGATTCACGTATTCTAGAACGTAAGGTGGACTTGATAAGGTACAAAACTGAAACGGGACACAGAAACAGGACACGGAAACGGGACACGGGAACGGGACAATTTGCAAAAATCAATAAGCAGATTCCGCCGGTGAACTCACGCCCGCTGATGGTGGGCTTGGTCCTGAGGCCGGCGGTGCTGGTGGCGGTGCTGCCAATGCTGGCAGGGAACCTGAAAGACGATAGATGTATTACCAGAGCGTAGACATTTGACTTTTGTTTAGTGGCAGCTTATTTCTTTGCAAAAAAGTCGCATATGTCAGATCATTGTAGTTCGTCACTTTTTACAAATGTCTTTTATGAATCAAGTTTCTACAGCACGTCTACTCGATACCCTCCTCAATATTCTAAATACGACTGGATACTCGATATGCAGAAGAATAAAGCATATGCCAAACGTCATGCTGAAAGTCATTAACCCGCGAGTTGCTGGGGGGGGGGGGCGTTAAACGCCCCCACTTTTTTCGCCGGGCCATAGCATAAAAACGGCGCGCCGCAGGCGCGCCAAATTTTGGGTACCTGTAGGGAATGGATTAAAGTTTATTGTGACAAAGTTTCAAAAAAATTTGTCGGAAAATTTTTGAGATATCGAGGTTTTAGTGACGTCATAATTTCTGAGTTTTCGACCAAAAACGGCATATGTTCGAAAAAATCATATAAAATCACGGAATAGACATACAGACATGCCGTAAACGCCATTAGACTGACAATACCATGAACAATCAAATGGCTATCTTCGATTATTGATTATCGTTCCGCATTTTCCAAAATCTTGAACTGAATCTTGGCAATTTCTCGTGACTACTTCACGACCATAATACATGTATTTCTTAAATTGAACTTTTTTAGCCAAACACGTACACATATGATAAAATGAATGCCACCATTGTGTTGTACGCCCCAAATTACCCATAAAACATGTGTCACAGGCTGCGAATATCAGTTTTGATTTTCGGGGATATGTGCCTGCCCGGTTGACCTGACCTTGACCCTGACCTATGCTTGACTGACCCCTACATGGAGCTGACACTCTTGTAGGCCTTAGGGGAAAGTGGGTGTATTGCGCCCTCCTAACCAATTGCGCCCACCAACATTCCCACGGATTCAATGGCATGTTTAGAATTTTGTGTTCGAAAACATCATTTTCACCACTGGATTGTTCATTTTATGGCCCAAACACTCCGATGAAGCCAATCAGCAAGGCTCATTACGCCAGCAAAGATGTTATGGCGTTTTCTTAACCCGCGCCCCGTAGGGCTACCGGCGGACCCTACCACCCGTAGGGGGGGGGGGGCCGTTTCGGCCCCCCCCTAAGATCTCGGAAAGTTACCGGCCGATTTTCAAAATTCAAACGGCGTTTGATAGCCCTACCCGGGAACTACCTTGTGACAAGTTTCATTGACCTAGGTCAAACCGATGACGTCACAGGTCAGGTCAAAGGTCAGGTTTTCACCGTTCACAGGCAATTCAAGAAATGTGCTGTGAAATCGAGTAAATTGGTAATTTATTGAAAACCATCGATGGTATATTGTTCGTCAAACACATACTTTGCTATCTGAGGTCACTGATACCAGGTCAGGTCACAGCGAGGTCAGGTCACCGGGGGTCACAATATGAATGTGTCGTGTGATACATGTTTTATGGTCCATTTTACATGACAAATGCGATTATGTGGGTTAGGCAGCCTTTGGGGCCAGCCTAGGTCACGTTTTGGTGAAGGTCAGGTCAAGGTCAGGTCAAATTAGGTCAAATTTCAAAGTTGATATTTTTGCATAAAATGGGTATCCATTCGATGCAGCTCGTCACGGGGAGTCTAAAGGTGGTCTTTGTTTTGCTCTACGAGTTCTAGAATTGCCAAAAATTGAGTTTGAAAATTTGACGTCATCATTTTTGAACAGTTTTTTCGCTATAACTTGGCCAAAAAACGAGGTATCGATCTGAAATTTGGTATGTAGATAGAAGACGGTAGGTACTATCACATATATTCCGGTTTTTTCGAAACTCAAAAAACTTTTTGGATTTTTTGGCTAATATATCCAAAAAAATGCTTTTTTGATTTTTGGGGATCAAAACTCAAAAATTTCAAAAACCCGAGATAGCAGTTTTGTAGCCCTGTCAATTCTACACTTTTTATGTCTTGATCATTTTTCTGTATCTTCAAAGCTGTAGGCCTGACAGGTCTTCTCGCGAAGGTCTTTTTTCGGTCGAAAATGACAGAACATGACGTCACTCTGACGTCATTTGTGGCCAACCTATCACAGCCTCTGGAAAAATTTTTGGTCACAATGTGTAAAATTGATGCCCGGAGGGGTCCTGAAAGTTTGGTGGCGATATCTCCAGCCGTTTAGGAGATATCGACCGAAAAGGACAGGGGGGGCCGTTTCGGCCCCCCCCCCCTACGGGGCGCGGGTTAACTTTTTTGCAGTATTTTGAACCGTTGGCTATAAAAATTTGCGATATTTGTGTGATTTTCAGAGTAATATTTAGAAAGAAAAACGCTTTTTTCATTGTATTTCACTGAAACCGTAAACTTCCTGCAACATCTTCATGATAACTTCTATGCTTTTATTAAAAAGTACTTCAATTTTAATTGCGCCCATGGCAATTGCGCCAGGGGGGTGCAAATAGAATAATGGTGTAGCCATTGTATCACGACAGTATAAATGCATCATTAACTGATTGCAATAAAGAAGGAGTTTAATGTCAGGCAAGGGAGCAGCCCGCTGTCGTCAGTCCGCAAATTATTTCTATCGTCAAACTTATAATGCAGCTGCCATTTGGGCTACGACTGGTGGTGTAATTGACAAAATACGACATTTTCAACATGGACTCAGGCGTGAGAAGTGACAGCTATGATAAAAAAGTAAAAACTGATGCCATTTAGTTGTCAAAACGATAAAAATTATTAATTTTGAGAGAAACGAGTGAAAATTTAGCTGAATAGGCGCATACGTTCACATATATCTAGTCGGCTACTGTAAACGTTTTTGTTGCATTTTTACAAGCGTACGGACACATGCAAAGTTATCTACCTGGGAAAAAAACATCGCGATGTATATCTACATTTATTATTTATCCAGCCTGAATAACATAATAAATGTTTAAGTAAGCCGCAATGACATTAGACTGCCGGGGTGTATGCATTCCGTCTCATTCACTTAGCCATGTTAAAGTATAGGGCGCAATTGGGTTCTAAATGCGCCATCCCCCTGGCGCAATTTACAGCAGTTGTTGGCAAATGCGCCCTTTTGCATGCTTCTGAAAAAGCAGCTGTCAGAAGCAAACGAAACATTCTTTATTGATCGGAAGGCTCTTAAATCGTAGCCAATGAGCTCCTCTTTGAAATGGTTACCAGTGCATGCTTATATCTCTAGCGGTTTTCTTACAATTAGCGTTTTTCCTTAAGGTGGCGCAATTCACCCTCCTTCCCCTATATGATGGATTGTGCACCGTTTTGACAGAGTTTATGACGAGAGGCGCCCATTGCGAAGTCCTGAAGTCCATGCTACTGAAAGCCCGATTTCAGGTGTTTGACCTGACCTTGACCCGACCTGTGACCTCAAAATTCAACTTTAACCCGCGCCGGGCCGGGGGGGTGTTTGAACACCCCCCCCCCTCTGCGGCTTTTCGCAGATATCTCAAAAACCTGCAATAATAAATAGTTTATATAATAGTAATAATAGTAATAATAATATAGTATAGTATAGTATAGTATAGTAATAATAATATATAATAATATAGTAGTAATAATAGTAAATAGTTTTTGGCACACCTGTTTGTACATCTTTTCCGCACATGTTGTGAAAATTTCAGACCCAGGTCGCCTTAGGTCAGGTCACCAGGTCACGCCAAGTGACCTCACCTCAGAAAAAATAAGAATGCTCGTCATAGCTACACCGATTGATCGATTGCCTTGAAACTTTCAGCGATTGATTAGAGCAACAATATCTATAAAATGTATATCTCGGAATTTTGATATCGGTGACCTAAGGTCAGGTCAATTTTGCGGCCTCTCCATTATAAGTCAATGGGAGAAAATTGAAAAGCGTCTGTTTTGCACGAACGCCATTCTAGACACTCTCAAACATCGCGATTTAGGTAAAACTGACACACTGAACCAGAAAATGGCAACTGTGACCCCTCGTTATGTCCCCGAGGTCATCTCAGGTCACGAACAGAATCTAACAGTTTTTCGCTAATAACTTCTGATAGAGGCGTCCTAGAGCGCTGAAAACGCCTTAGATGTGTTCGGCTCGACGTTGCGGATCGACTGATATGCAACATGACCTTTTCCGGTCAGGTCATGACCTTGACCTGAGGTCAAATTTTCAAGTTGACCTTTCAAGGTCAACTTATAGTTCATTCGACGCGTCTCGTCGAGAGGAACACGATGCTGGCAAAAGTAATGTCATGGCTCTTTTGAGTCAAAAGTTATCGCTTCGTAAAAACGGCTATTTTTGGAGTTTTTGTCCTCTGGAGGCTAAATCGTTGACCTGAGGTCAAATCTGAGAACATTACTCAGAAAGGCCTGTAAAAGGGCTATCGAATGCGCTTTTCCGCGGCGCTGTATCTCTATCGGTTCCAGAGATAGCCGTTGGCAGTTTCCAAAATGTTGAAATAGTCAACATTTTACCTTTGGTGACCTCTGGTGACCTGACCTTTAACCTGACCCAAAAAATGACCGAAGTGTTTTCGTCCTTATTTTGGACGTTCTTTCGATTGCCGCTTACCGCGTGTCGCTACGTGGCCCAGGAGCCGAGTTAGAAGGGGGGGGGGGGTGTTCAGACACCCCCCCCCCCCCCGGCCCGGCGCGGAATCTCAGAGCACCGGCCCGGCGCGGGTTAAAGTATTCATCTGAAGCGTCTCGTCGCGTTCTTTCGTTTGCCGCCTCGTGCGTTTCGCTGCGTGTATTGGTTCTCGAGTTATCGGCTGGGGGCGTTTAACGCCCCCCCCCCCCCCCAGCAAACGGTGGGTGGCGAAATACCCCAGCAACTGCCGGGTTAAATGAAATTATTGCCTAAAAATGGAGTAAAATGCTACACAACATTCTTCAATCGTTCTCCAATTTCACATTGGACTCTCGCCACCCGAGGAGCGGTGAGGTGTCTTTTACCTTCTCAGCTGCACCTGAAATGAGATAGCTAAAATAAATGTTTTCATTAGATATATAAATTCCTGGATATGATTCAAAAATGGTATGATCAACAGCTTGCTTGTTATCAAGTATAGCTAAAAAAAATAATTCCAGAGCATCGATTCCCCTCTCCCAAAAACGTCCCCGAAACTAACCTGCCTCGGGAGGCCTCTCATGCTGTGACGGGCGAGTGTGCGGCAGCTGAAATGCCGGACTGCCGGATTGGCTCCGGCGGTCGACGGCTCAGCTGCGCCAAAGCCGCACACCCGCCTCAGTCAACCTGCCGGTGTAGTAAATGGACAGATGATTATTCCAGCTGATGTATCTATGATATGATCGGCATGTTCCTAGTTGTATTTATTTATTTTTCACGTAAAGGGAACTAAATAAAAAAGGTACACGGGGACGGGACACGGGACGGAACACAGGACATTGACCCCGGGAAACATGTGTATATCATAAGCAGATTCCGCTGGTAAACTCACGCCCGCAGGTGGTGGGCTTGGTCCTGAGGCCGGCGGTGCTGGTGGTGGTGCTGCCAAAGCTGGCAGGGGATCTGAAACACAATAGATAAATATTTAGCACTTGCACCATTTGTAGGTATACATCGTAACTCGATTTTTTTTTTTTGACGACATGACAACTGGCCCAGGTATATCGCTTGCAAGACTCCTCACAATATTTATGAGATGAAGGTAGAAATAAACTAATACTAAGCATACACAAAGCTGTTTGAGATTACTATCAAATCCCTTATCAATGTATTGATAACACATACACAATTCATGCGTGCCTGTTCACTGTCAGTACAATACTAAAACACTCACGGAGGCTGGTGGTGGTGATTCCGGAGCCGGTGGTGCTGGTGCTGGTGCTGGTGATGGCTGGTGGTGATGGTGGACCTAAATTAAATGGTAATTTTCATCAATACTTGATCATATTTTTAATTATATTTGCTGAGGTTTTGTAGATGATTGAACACTTTGGAGATAAATGGCCTCAGTTTGGACGTTACAGCCAAACATTAACCCGCGCCCTGCTGGGGGGGGGGGTGTTTGAACACCCCCCTTGTGGTTTATCGCGAATATCTCAAAAACGGCGGCGCGGAGCGCCGCCGTTTTTGGTACACCTTATCATACATCAATTATACACATGTTGTAAAAATTTCAGACCAAGGTCATTCAAGGTCAGGTCACCAGGTCACTTGAAGTGACCTCACCTCATAAAAAGTTTCAATGTCTGTCATAGCTACACCAAGTGACCGATCGCTTTGAAACTTTCAGCGATTGCTAAGGGCAATAGCATGTACAAAATGTATATCTCAGAATTTTGATATCGATGACCTAAGGTCAGGTCAATTTTGCGACCTCCCCATTATATAAGTCAATGGGAGAAAATTGAAATGCGCCTCTTTTGGATGCAAGACATTATAAACACTCCCAAACACCGAATTACAAGTGTTTTAGACACACTGAACATGAAAATGGTGTCCGTGACCCTTGTTTATGCCCTGAGGTCATCTTAGGTCACGAATGGTATCTAACAGTTGTTCGCAAATAACTTTTGATAGAGGCATGCTAGAGCGATGAAAACGCCTTAGATGTGTTCAGCTCGACGATACGGATCGACTGATATGCAACATGACCCTTTCCGGTCAGGTCATGACTTTGACCTGAGGTCAAATTTTCAAGTTGACCTTTCAAGGTCAAGTTATAGTTCATTCGATGCGTCTTGACTGACGAGAGGAACACGATGCCGGTGAAAGTAAGCTCGTACAAGGCTTGGGTCAAAAGTTATTGCAGAAAAACTGTTTTCGAAAAAAATCGGCTATTTTTGCAGTTTTTGCCCCCTGCAGGCAAAACCGTTGACGTTAGGTCAAACCTGAGGGAATTATTCAGAAAGGGCGTTAATAGGGCTATCGAATGCGCTTTTCCGTGGCGCTGTAGCTCTATTGGTTCCCGAGTTATGCGTTGGCTTCTTGGAAATTTTCGACATTCGACCTGGAAATCGGCGAAATTTTGCCTTTAATGACCTCTGGTGACCTGCCCTTTGACCTGACCAAAAAATTGACCGAAGTGATTTCGTCATGTATTTTTGACGCTCTTTCGAACGCCGCCTTCCGCGTATCGCTACGTGGCCCAGGAGCCGAGTTACAAGGGGGGTGTTCAAACATCCCCCCCAGCAGGGCGTGGAAATCCAGGACCCCCAGCCGGGCGCGGGTTAACCCACGCCCCCCTGTGGGGAGGCTATTTATAGCCCCCACTCCCGTTTTTCTGCAATAACTTCCAAACCGCTTGACGGATCGACGCCAAACTTACAGTACCTTTGGCTGCATCAATTTGACACCTTGTGTCAAAATTTGAACTTCGTAGCTACCATAGGTCGGCTGGAAATGACGTCAGAGTGACGTCATGCTCGGCCGATTTCGACGCGAAACAATGAACCACGGCAATCGCTTCCAAGAGCTCAGTTTTTAAGCTAGATCCAATTTCTTTGCATGAAAGGACTCAGAATTGACCGCGCTATCAAACTGCTATCTCGAACTTTCAAAATTTTTTTTTGAAAATTTGATATAATAATATTCAAAATTTGTATTTTTTATTTTTTTTTTCAAAAGTTTTTGACTTTTCAAAAAAAAACGGAATATATGTGACAGAACGTATGATTATGACTAACTCTAGCAAGTTTTAGCTAAATATCTTCAAAAATGGCCAAGTTATACGCATTACCTATTGCAAAAAATTCACAATTATTAATTTTTCAAATCAATTTTTCAGTACGTATTTGACATCGTACACCAATATAAATGGCTCCATCGTGTTCCTGAGCTCAAACTGCATCCAATAGACACCTTTTTTGTTGAAAAATTTTAACTTCAAAATTTGACCTTTTTTGACCTTTTTTGACCTAAAAGTGACCTGACCTAAGCTAAATTCGACTCAAAATGACCTCGAATGACACAGACGACATCCAATATGAAATCTATGGCCTAAATGGACCATAAAACATGTGTCACGTGACCGACGCATGATAAAATATTTTCGTGACCTGTGATGACCTGACCTTGACCTGAAAATCAAAGTAAAAGCTTGGTACCCTCAGGGTATCTAGAGCATCTGTTTAAGAGTGTGTGTACCAAAAATGAGCCTAATCTGACTTGTAAGACGGCGGCGAGAGCCCAAAATGTGAACAAGCCAAAATGCTAATAATTTTTACTTTGACCTGACCTGTGACGTCATCGGTGACCTCGAGGTCAATGAAATTAGGTTTCGCTCGACAGTTTTTCCAAGGCTATCAGACGCCGTTTGAATTTTGACGATCGGCCAAGTAGTTTCGGAGTTAGGAGGGGGAGCTATGAATAGCCCCCTCCCCCCCCCCCCCAGTAGGGCGTGTTATACACAGACCCCAGTGGGGCGCGGGTTAATAAGGATGTGTTTGTTTCGTCGTAACAAGCCTCAGCCTGCTAATAAACCAAACACGCAAACAAACAAACAATCACTCAAACAAATAAACAAATAAACAAACAAACAAACAAAACAAACAAACAAACAAACAAACAAACACGCAATCGATATTTTAACGTTAGTTGAAACATACAAATTGAAACAACACAAAGGTCAAAGGTTTGGAAAAGGGAATATTTCTGGAGCTGCACCTACCTGCTGATGGTGGACTTGGAGCTGAAGCCGGTGGTGCTGGTGGTGGTGCTGGTGGATGGTCTGAAAGGAAAGAAATAAAAATTGACCGCAAATAGACGCAACTGTTAAACAATACAATGGGTTCACCTCTGAACCAGTCTAATGGTCAGAAAAAGTGATGACGGAATCCGTTATCAATATTTGAGTGAGGATAGTACTACAGTTCTTCCATTGCCTTGATTATGAAGAAGAAATTACTGACAAAATATCCTGTGCAGCAAAACAGAAAATCAGTTTTTCGTTTTCAGGTTCAAAGATCAGCCACTCACGGAGGCTGGTGGAGGACTTGATCCCGGAGCCGGTGGTGCTGGTGGAGGACTTGATCCCGGAGCCGGTGGTGCTGGTGGTGGTGCTGGTGATGGTGATGGGCCTGAAATAGTACACATGTTTTATGTATTAGGTACGCAGAGACCAATTAGCGTTACATATAATACAGATATAGTAAAACTGCTAAAAACACAACAGATATTACTGAAATTGGTTTGACGTTACATACGTAGGCCTAGATATATTGTACCAATTTCTTCTTAAAGTTTGATAAAAAAAATCTTGTGAGAAAAAAAGAACAAAAAATGATAATTGTGGTTATTTGACGCAGAAACACGACCATTCATAACAAAATGAAAACTCAGAACTGATCGTTTTGCAGTTGAAAAAAATCATCTAAGAAAAACTTGTATTCTATCAACATTCATTACAATTACCAAATGTTTTATTTTCTACAGACGAGTAACAGCGGGCGACAGCGTGCCCGCCGATATCGCGTCTGTACTCACGGAGGCTGGTGGCGGGCTTGGTGCTGAGGCCGGTGGTGCTGGTGGTGGTGCTGGGTAGATGGTCTGGAAAAGAATCAGCACATGTTGAGTTGCTCTTAATTGTAAGAAAATATAGCTTCACTTCTTTTCTTAACAGGTTTTACGATCATTAGTATTCCTGATGGAATATTTGTAACAATACAATGTATAGCCTATCGTAATAGATTTGGTGATGAAAAACAAACTAAAAATGTGCCTCGAACTTACGACCAAAATCAAATACCTCCAATTTTAAAGTCAATTTGTGATAAGACATTTACGGACGCTGGTGACGGGCTTGGTGCTGAGGCCGGTGGTGCTGGTGGTGGCGGGCTTGGTGCTGAGGCCGGTGGTGCTGGTGGTGGTGCTGGTTAATGATCTATAAGCGAAAAAATACAAATTGACCGTAAACCGATGAAACTGTTGTAAAATACAGTGAATTCACCTCTCAACCAGTCCAACGGTCAGCAAAATCCTGACGGAATCCGTTGTCAGCGTTTTATTATTATATTTTATTATTAAAGCGTTTTATTTTATTATACATATTATTCTTCCTATTGATCTGATTAATAAGAAGAAATTACCGAAAAAATTTCCTATGTAACATAGCGAGAAGAATAAGTTTTACGTTTTCAGGTTTCAATAAAAAATCAGACACTCACGGAGGCTGGTGGCGGGCTTGATCCCGGAGCCGATGGTGCTGGTGGAGGTGCTGATGCTGGTGATGGTGATGCTGGGGACGGTGGTGATGGCGGACCTGAAAAAAAATACAAGCGATTTATTTATTGTATTTGACATGATCACCTTACCATACAGACAGGGCGGTAGCAATTAGCGATGTCAATACCGGAAAATCGTGAAAACGATACCAAACCAAATACCAACAATATCCATGGAAAAATACCGAAACCGAACCGACTTGGGAATATGACGAAAATACCAGCTTTTTACCAAATTCTCAGCGTCTTTAACCCGCGCGGAGCTGGGGTCTCCAGCCGAACGCGCGGGGCTGGGGGGGGGGGTAAATTTTACCCCCCCCCCCCCTGTTATCTCCCGAACTAATGGTCAGATTTGGAAAATTCAAACGCCAATCGAAAGCTCTCATCACGAACTACTAAAAACATGTACTTAATTTAAAGTTTGAGGTCAAGGTCAAGGTCAGGTCAAGGGTACAAATTGCAAGTTTCTACAGTATCGGCCTTGCACCGTAGTTACCGAAGAATGGAGTCATGGACTGAGACTGATCGCCCAAAACGTGTTCTTAGGCTACCAAGACAATATTCGTTGCATACAATATCATTCAGAGGTCAAGGTCAAGGTCAGGTCAGGTCAGGTCAGGTCACCAAAAAACAAAATATAGAAAAGGGCATGTG